TTTAAATAGAAAAGAACATGATTTACAACAGTTTTTTTAATTTTTTTTCCTGCAATTCAAAAATGAAGAGAATGGGAAGAAGACATTCCCCTCTGAATCCTTGCTTGTTGCTAGAGTCTTTCAGTTAGGCAGGGGCATGCTACAGCATGATGCAGAGACCTAAACCAAATGTCAACCCATTTGTTTTGTAATAAGTTCATATATTATTTCAAGCTACTAACTTCAAAAACTTGAATTGCAGATTTTTAGGTGGTTGTTGTTGTCGTCATTGTTTCTGCTGCAAGTCAGCTCCCTTAAGTGCAGAGTTTTGTTGGAGTTATTTGGTGTCATTTATTTATTAGCCATTTTGGAGGCAGGTGTCCAAAAGTGTTTTAAAAACCTGGTCTGGCAAATATAATAGCTGCATTTGCAGTGCACTACTAAAGCTACCTCAGGGTTAGCTACCTACTCGTCTGTCGTTCATAGAAATAATTAAGGGATGGAAAAGACTTTGTAGAACACTTTGTTCATACTTTTGCCAATTTAAAGCTCTTCCATATTGCGTTTCTAGAGGTTTGTTCAGTTYTTAATGACTGAAGCAATGGAGCTCCCACCACTTCCCTCCAATGACTATTCTGTATTGCGAAAGATTTCACTGTAAAGAATCAAGTCCCGACAGTCAGCCTAAAATACTCCCTTACTGACTTCGCTATTCATCTCTATTATACACACACACAGTATAACACATGCCAAACTGCTCCATCACACAGTCCTTTAAAAGTTAGCCAGTTTGCCTTGGTGCAGTGTCAAAAGGAATATGTCCTCATGCTTTGTTCTTCAAAAAATGTTAATGGAGGCGGCAGCTTTATTGCCACGATACACAGTAAAAGAATAAAGGGTATACACCGGCAGGAACTTCACATCATAGGATAGCCTGTAATTCATTGCTAATTAGTTCCTACTTAAAGGTCATGAAAGAAATAAAAGACCAGAGTCCTTTGGAATTTTAAAAGTAAAAATGTGCAGGAGAGTGTGTGGATAGTAGATGATGTCATTTAGCAGTAAACAATTTGCAGACCAAGTGCAGCCTCCATTCAATTCACCACTGCAGTAAGTCCACTCTTGTATAAGGCTGGGTCTTGCTTCTTCAATTCCATTAAAATGTATCGTAAACAGTAACAATAACTCATTGTTAACTTGCAGAGTCCTTGGCTCCTATCAACAGTATTTATTCAGGGAGTGTTCTGCATTTAAACATTCTTAAGTTATGAACAGTCATCTCTAAGGATAAGGAAATGCTGCAACTCCATGCAACATGTGGCATGGAGATTCATAAATATATCATCTCACATTATCAGTTACAACCTGATTTTGCTAATCTTTCTTTCCCTCCTACCACAGATAACCTCCCCCMAAAAAAGAAAAAAATAATAAAAGCTTGTTCATTTCATAACTCTAAAGGTCCTTTCGAAAGAATTACCTGTGCAACTTCCCATTAATTTTTCATCTTGAAAGCTTTCATTTTTGATCAGATTGCTTAATACAACTCCATAAAAAGTGTCAACTTTATAAAAAGTGTCACATAAAACTGATGAAGCAAATTCTCTTACTTCGCACAAGAAACAAAGGTCAGTGTAAGACCCTCCAGGAAGGGTTAAAATTCCACCGTCAAAGCTTCTTGACTGATTGTATAACCCAAAGCAAAAGATACCAAATATTAGTTACATCAGTCCCTCAAGAATTGAAAAATAAATAAAAAGGCACAATTAGAAGAAAAAAACTTTTTTTTTCTTTTTTAACATGGATCACTCATATTTTCATTTACTCAACAACTTTTGTGAGGAAGGAATACTAAGCATGGGAACCTCAAAATTAGAATATTCAGCATGGGCTAATCTGAGCATAGACTTCACTTTCACTATGCTGAGCTGTCCTGTTACATCTCTAATCTTCAAGAAAAGTGACACTTACGCTGTAGTTCTAGGAATACTGACATCTCTTTCTTCCTCAAATCCACATCTTGAGCCTTACAACAATTGCTAAATCCAACAAACAAATTCACTGACCTTGCTCTCTTGATAGCTTTAATCACTATCAGATTCAGAACTAGACTTAACCTGGCTCTTACCAACTTGGGTGTCACTAGACAGACTTTTGGATATAAAATGGAAAATAAACTGGTACAACTTACAGGTTAAAGAGCTGAAAGACAGCATTTGTTGCTGCAGTCCAAATTTCAGCCTACCCCAATTAACACCACTCTGACCAGTCAGTGCATTCTTCCATCAGTTTAGATTCCATTTTACACAAGTTCAGTAAGTATAAAGTGATTGTACAAAGCAGAACATGAATATGAAAAAAAGCTTTATGTATGACGAGTTCTATTTACACTTTGCATGTCTCTAGATTCCCCTAACGAAAAGCACGGCAGCAATTTGACAGAAAGCATGCTGCCCGAGTTACTGCATTCTCTGTTTCTTAGTGCTATAAAGACTGCACATATGTCCAAATCAGCACTAAAAAAATATATTAAAAATGTAAAATGTTTTCCCTTCTGGAAATCAGCAGCTGCTCTGTTTATTTATYTAATTTAGCAAATGCAACCTGGCCCCTCATAGTTAATCTGCAACTAAGGGCCAGGATTGTTGTTGCTACGGTTTTCTTGGGTATTCTTTCTTTACTAGGCTTAAAAAAGATTGCAATTAATCCCTCAGTAATAGCAATGAAATTCAATCTACAACTGATATTTAGATGCCATTTTAGAACAAAACACTATTATATTAAAGCTTATGTTAACRGCTTATTTAAGATCATTCCATGAGAAGCTGACTAGAAACTGAAAATTTAAGAGATAAATAATTGCATTTCTTGAAAAAATAAATTCTAGAGTGTTAATCTTGCAAAAATGATTTGATTTGCTTGCACCTAAGGTACAAGGTAGATACATAGCTATTGTTTGGAAYAGTATAGAGGGTAGAATGAAAGGTGCCTAAAGTAGAAACCTAGAATCAAATAACTTATTGTGTAGTCCACCAAGTTTTACCTAGTCTGCTTGAGGATATATTTGAATGATTAAGACCTGTGATCAGGTAGACAGTTACAGCAATCATCTGGTCAGAACTGCCCAGCACTTTAAAAATAATTTACAATTATTCAAGCCAGATGGAAATGGATCTGAGTAACAACACTGCATTTCTGCCCCTTCTGTCACACATAAAAGAAAGTCTAACCTTAGTCATGACAGTCACTCTAGGTATCTTTGAGAAATAGAGATTTTCCACTAAATCTACAAATCATCCACACTCTTTCTGAATCAGTGAAATCAGATATTAGAAAAGAAATTKGAACATTCAAACTGCACAGAAAATCTCTCACAAGTTTTCTGTATGTGTTGGTAAGGATTTGGTTTTGTAATGAATTCTCTTCTCCTTTTCCGTAAGGAAATCACTAGAGGCATGTTTTGATCTAGCTTTTATTTTTGTCCACTGCAATTTTTGGAGATGACATTGCATCCATTAGAGGATGACGTATAAGACAAACGATGAGTCTATTTTCAGCTAACTTAAATTTCCCCTCACATGGAGAGCTTTTGGGAAAAAGAAAATCAAAGCTTTGCTGTAAAGCACAAGAGCTCTGACTACAGAGTGTGAGAGAAAACTGAAYGGATGAAGACTCATTCACCAGCTCACAGGACTGCTCGCCAGGGATGCAGAAGGCTAGGCTTTGGATCCCTCCAAGCCTCATTCACACCAGAGASTTGCAAACCCCAAGTAAACAATTTTATCGTAAGACTTTTCAAATCTACCTCTGGTTGCCGATAGAGCTGAACTGTACATCTTAGTGTTTCAGCAAAATTATCCTGCATTATACACCATGACCAGTGCAGGTGGGTTATGATAAACAGACAYTCCATAATTGCTTCAATTTGCGACTGTCGTCTTACCATTTCACTGGCATTAGTAGTGAAAATAGGAAAAACTCCACCAATGTGACAAAGCATGGAATAATGGAGCAACTGTGATAGAAAATTTGAGACTCTCATAGAGTCAACAACAACCATCACACTGCTATGAAAATTTTCATTTACAAATCGAATTCTAACCCACATGCAGCATGAAAAAATAAGGGCTTTTTTTGTTGTTGTTGTTGTTCTCAGCTAAAGGTTGTTGGTTGGTTTATACTGTGAGGCTTCTGATTCAGTTCCTACTGAAAGAGATGTTATCATTTGGCATTAAAGCTATAATTCAAGAACATTTTCAAAGCCTACAGAAATCTCTCATCCATTTCAAATAGGAGAAAAAGTACCTTGAAAAATATTAATCTGGTAGATCTGTCATTTTTACAGGTCCACCTCAAAGCCTTCCTTCATTATTATTTTATCTTATGGCTGAAAATGCTTGGTTTACTAGCATTCATCTTTCCTCTCCTAAACATATCAGGAAAAGTGCACCAAAATATGTTGACTTTTCAGATTGGTTTGCTTCACCTGAGTCCCAGATTCAGATTTACGTGCTGGCAAAGAACCCACACCCCCTATTTTTGATGAGATACCCAGACTAAGTGACTTCTTGGATTATTCCTTCCCCGTTTGTATCATTTAATAATGATATATTTCTTTAGCTTGGATTCTAACTTTGAGTATAGTTTCACACTCCAAGTCCTTAGAATAAGGAAAAGCATGAATCATTCACTGTACCTGTGTATTCTGCTCTCAACTGTGCAGGGCTGGTGTTCAGATTAGCATTTCTAATCACTGTTTTCATGATGCCCGTAGTACCCAGTAGCCATATGAAGAACCAAGGATGAGCGTATCCACCATCTCTCAGAGATCTCCCAGCTCACACAACTTTCCTACAAAGTTCAGCTGCAAGCTCACGGGTGGCAATGCACTTACACAGCCCATGAAATAGAGTATACATTCTACATTAAGCCCAATGAGGACTTCCTCAATGTCTCTATTACCCTGTAATTCCAGAAGGGAACTTGCACATTCAAAGGCTTCAAGAATGGTGAGAGGAGGTCACTCAGCAAGCACAGATTCATGCTCAGTATGCGTCAGAACTGTTGCAGACATACAGCAATAATGTCGTGTCACAACACATGTGCCAGGAACAAGCTGAAAGATAACAAAAAYGAAAGACAAAATATGATGGAGTAAGAAAAAGGTTTTATAGAAATAAAGCCCTGACAGTAGTTTAAGTTATGTTATAGCCTCCTTCAGGTTACTATACATTTGGATGCTTAAGCTGTATTTGTCTTTAGCATCTGGCAATGTCATTTAATATGTTCCTATGGCCATGCATGCAGTTAAGCATGCACTGTATATTATTTTATGATGTTTGAATTGGAATCACACTTTCTGGGTACAAGTATTCATGTTTTTGCAGATTCTTGTGCAAAGCCAGGACAACCTGTTTCCAATTTCACAACCGTTTATCGCTAATCCAAAATGACTGCAGCATTACCTACAGACAGGAAGCTGGATGAGGACTTGTGTGTTTTGGATGCATCATGCTCTTCCCAGGAAACTGTTAAACTAGTTTCATGCTTACATGAGGGGAAGACAGAAATTACTAATGGATATGACTGTACCTAATCTATATATAGCTTAGCAAAATAAAGGCAAAATTGAGATGAGTCTTATAACAACTCTTTATTCATATGAGTTCTAATAATCATTTCAGCATTCCATTCACGTTTTTCTGCTTTTGCTTTCTCAAAACTTCAACTGCATTGATGGGACCTGTACTTACTAGCTCACAAGGTCTCAGGAATTTTACAGGTTTCAGTCTCTRGACCTAACAGCTAACTTGCACTGAAATAACCAAAATTCTACTGCAAAACATTTTTATATATAATACCATATATAAATATATTATCAATATATTATATAATTATAAAATTATATATTATAAATATTAATTATACAATATATATTTATACAATATATTTATACATATATTACAATATACTTATATTTTTATATATTTCACATTGACATTCTGCAGGAGATCAGACCAAGCTGCAGTTGTATTATATGTCCAAGGAAACATATTATAGGATATTCCTGTGGGTTAAAAAAAAAAAAAAAAAAGTTGATTGAGAAGACGGATTAAATTGACCCCAGAACAACAAGAAACAGCCTGAGAAATATCCACCTCACTATTTTATGAACTTCTAAACTTTTGGCCAGCAGTTGATTTAGAATTGATCTAATAATCCCTGTGAGAAAAGGTTGTCCCCTGAGATTTATAGCAGTTCCTGGATTTTGATGGATAAGAAGAGCCAAAAGATTGCTCTCTTATTACTTTTAAATATTTATGTCTAATCATCATTATCAAATAGCGAAGCTGAACATGTTTTTCTCCCCTTTGAAAGATGTGCATTTCAATGGAATTTTGTTGAAAAGAATTAGGATTTGGTTTGCTTGAAAAAGATTTAATTTTGTTGGATTTATCATCATCATGTTCAAATGCACAGTTCATTATGCTACCCAAATAACTAAGGCAATGATGTCACGAAACATACATTATTGGCCATAGTTACAAAGATGCTTCCAGATTTTAATTCCCAATTGACTGAACCTGTAGAAACAGGTCATCAACAGAAATAATAGCAAGTAATCCTCTTTGYTTGCACATTACTTTAATGCTATTTAATGATTCGCGTGTATGTCCATAAACCAACATGAACTGCAGGAAGAAAAATGAAAATATGAATTTAGGCAACTTTAATTATAGCTCTAAGAAAGCTGTAACAAAAATCTCTAGGATTCTGAATGGCAATGCATTTTCAGAAATCCTTTAAAACTATTTGGTCCAGTAACACTGGATATTTTTAGGTTTTTATGTCTTTACAAGCTCAAGGAATTTTCCAAAAATACGGAATAATTCCATGTACTTTCACTTAAAAACAACCAGAGGGCTCTATTTCCAAATTCAGCTATGGCTTCTCAACTTTTCCCTCCAAACAATTCTCTATCAACATTTTATTAGCTTGAAATATAATACCTAAGCTTGTTTCTGGAAAAGAGTTACAAAGAAGGAAACCTTCCCCATGCAGGATACTGTTTTTATGCTTCTAGAAGTGATGGAGAGATCTGAAAACAGGGCTTTTTAATGTACTTGCTTAGCCTACAAAATTTCGCTTTTTTTTTTATAAAAAAATTTATGCTTATTTGACTAACATAATTACGAATTACACCATGCTATCGTGTTTCTTTTGAATGATTTATGTTTTTATACATTACTTTATATCTTCAGGGTTTCTCCCCCTAATTTTATTACAGAATTTTATACGTTTACAGTAGATTATGATTTCTATGGCTAACTTTATAACTATCTAACCATTTAATGGAAAGGAAATTTAAAAGCCAACAAAGAAAATATGCCAAAGCATGTTCACAATCAGGTTCACAATCCCTTAAAAACAATTGCATTTGTAAGAAATGCAGAACAAAGCCATGTTTGTCCCCTGCCACTAGAGTTCTTTAACRTGAAGCCCACCAATGTTCAACAGCCATGAAGAAGCCACCATTACATATCCTGAGGAGAAAAATAACCTTTCCGAGGCAGCAGTAAATAGCTCCTGGAGTTCAGTGCAATCCCTCCCTCTCCCCAAAACAGTCTGCAACTCCGCCCTACTGATTTGAAGTTATAATCTGGGTAATCCAGAAAAACAGCAGAGAACATCATCTACTTGACCAGAAGGTACTTGAGGGAGTTAAACATCTCAAAAGGTGCAAGTGCCTGCCTCATCTTCCCTACAGGAAAAAAAAAAAAAAAATGTAGTATATTTACTGCAATAAATTGAGAAGAATTTCACATCTTCTATCTTTAGTTCCTGTAAAATAAATGAAGTGCCAGATGACCACAAGAGCCATCCCACATCATGTGCCATTAATATTAAGACAGCTAACATATAGTTTATAAGAAAATATCAAAATTCCAGCCACCTACTATACTCTCTTGTAAAGAACAGAGAGCTTGTTTCAAAAATAGAGGATAAAGCACCTGAAGATGTCTATTCCATTTCCAGTTCTTAGAAAGGCTTTGTAGGACCTCAGWCAAACTGCTTAGCTTTTCTGATCTCCAATATATTTGCCTATTCCATAGCATACCACCTCATGGAGAGAAATGGTCTCATTCTCTCCTCTTCAGTCTTTTGCAAAGAATAATTAAGGAGACATGGCACAAAGAAACAACATGAAATCTCCAGGTGCTTTCCCAGCATTAACCAAAACTGAGTCATAGTCCTTGTTATAGTGAATATTTCAAAATCATGGTTTAAGTGGTAATAAAGACACTCTCTTTATGCAGACACCACTGCACATTTGAAAGACATTCATAGAACAGAGAAAGAATTTGCTTCCCACTCTTGCATCCTGTTCATTAGGTGCCCTCACAAAAGCGTGGCCCGGGGGCGGAGGGGGGGGAAGAATCAAAAAATGAATTGTTTTCTTGTCTTCCTGAATGGGAGATGTGAGTCTAAGCACTGAAGACATTAGATAACAAGACAGCAGCCACCACTGAACACCTTCCTCCTCGGGCTGCTGTGCACAGTTATTTTAGGTGTGCTCTGAGTTTGCTTATGTATCTGAACTCTCCAGTCACTCAAGAGTTGGAGCAAAACCCCAAGTGTGGTTTCTGACACCTGTTATCAGGTACTTAGACATTTAACACCAGACCAGGCATTTCTGGACACAGGAAGGCATAGGCCTTGTGGCACCCAAGAAACTCTGGTGCAGAAAATAAAGGCATTAAATACAATGGTGTTAGAAAGCAGATGGACATGATTTTTGAGCAGCGTGTTACTGTGTACTTAGAATAGCAATCACAGAATTTAGGCACTGCAGATTTTGCCCAAAGTGACCACATAAGTATTGCTGCTAAGGGCTTTTTTGTTAAAAAGAAAACAAAAATTTCTCTTGAAACAGTGTGTATTTCCAAAGCCCAACTTCACTTAGGACTGTTTAAATATTAAGAAAAGTGTTCTACATTCAAGAAGACAAATTCTCTCTTTAAGTACCAAGGCTTCCTTTCACTACTCCTCTTTCCAATATCAGATATGCTAAGCATCAGAAGACGCATCTCAGATTTAGACATGACTTACCCCCATGCTGTTTGGCTGTTGCAAGATTTTCTGTACCTTCAGTTATTCTATTTCTGTTAAAAGGCAGTTAGGGAATTACTGCTCCAGGTTCATTTTTGAGCAACTTCCAAGAATAAAATAYGTCCATCAAAGCAAGCGTATTGCTTCCAGTTACTTACATCTCTGAAGGCAGCATTTGGCCCAAATGCTGTGCATTGGGGAGAAACAAATTCTGAGCCATGTTAGTGTCTTATTTCAGGATACAAAATTGTCTTTCCCACAGCAGTCTTGAGCTACGGTATACAAAACAACCTACTGTTGCATAACAACAAATAAAAACAAAATCATTTCTGAATGCACTGAAAAGGTATACGATTCACCAATAAGCTCCAGCTGCTTTGCAGGACCTTGGCACCACAAAAGAGCCATAAAGCTGCTTTCTCTGGGTTAAGTCCAACCTATGCCTACTTTACATCACCAGAGCATGAAACAGTCAAGACACTCTTCTAATTCTAAGCAATAGAAAATATTACCTTGCTGTTATGTAAAACGCTACACACTGTCATCCTGGACTAAATCTTGTCATGGCTTCAAGGGGAGAATGGGGAAAAATCTTCAATTTTCTGTTCATCACTTAGACATCTTAAAAATCTTTTGCACACATGCCTCATTAAAAAAACTTAAAACAACATGCAACTAAGTTTAAATGCTCCAAAACTATCAATTTTTAATGATACTTTACATGCACTTTGTTATACCACATAGCTGAAATATTACGAAAATTGGCAATGCTGTCCCATTTTAAACATGCAGCATTTTATATAGGGAGATATATACTTTAAATACATGCATAATAAAGTTTAAGCAAGTATACTACAAATATACAGAAAACCTATATTTTTTTTTCCATATGGAAAGAAACGACCCTTGTTACAGTCCTTTTATTGTTCACTACAGAAAGTTATGGGAAGCAGACTACATTCATTTTATTTTTTTTTCCTACAAATCTGTAGATAGTTTGGAGAT